TATGGAGTCCGCTTGGGATTCTCTCTCTCTCTGTTCCTGTCTCTTTCTCTCTCTCTGTCTAAAAATAAATAAGTAAATCTTTAAAAAATATATTTAAAAAAAGTTAAAGTAAACTTACCTTTATGACCCAGAAATTTCACTTCTTGATATCTACTCAAGGGAAATAAAAACATGTGTCCACACGCAGACGTATATATATGTCAGTGTTCAGAGCAGAATTATTCATAATAGTCAAAAACTAAAAACAATCTACATGTTCATTAACTGATGAGTGGATAAACAAAATCCACACAATGGAACACCGTTTGTCAATAAAAGGGAACAGGCTACTGCTACATACCACAACATAGATGAATATGAAAAGCATTATGATAAGCCACATGCATGACACCGCATATTGTACGATTGCACTTATATGAAATGTCCAGAAAAGGTAAATGTTTAGAGACAGAAAGCTGATTAGTTATTTTTTGGGGCTCTGAGTAAGAGTGGGTTGACTACCTAAGGACATGAAAGATCTTTCTGGGGTGATAAAAATGTTTTAAAACTGGACCCTGGTGATGATCACTCTAAATTTATTTAAAATCTGTAAGTTGTACACTTAAAAAGGTGAATTTTATGTTATGTAATTACACCTCAATAGACTGTTAAAAGTGAAATTATGCTAATTGAAACTAAGAAGAGGAAAACCTGGCAGACACTCTGTTAACCAAATGACCAAGATTAACATCCCCAGTGATAAGTCATATGGATATCATGTACCCCCTGATATGATGTTACAAAAAGAGCTCTTCATTCATTCACAAGCTAATCATGAGAAACATCAGACAAATCCAAATTATTATTTAGATTAGTACAAAAAATATCTGACCACTACCCTTCAAAACTATCAGGGTCATAAAAAACAAGAGAAGACTGAGAAATGGTCACAAATCAGAGAAGAGTTAGGAGAAATGGCAACTAAATGCAATGTGGTATCCTAGATCAGACCTTTGGAATAGAATAAAGATATTAGTGGAAAAACTGGTAAAATCTCAATAAAGTATGTAGTTAATAGTATTGTATCAATGTTCACTTCTTCCTTTGACAAATTTACCATCGTTACATAAGATTTTAATGTTAAGTAGTGAAGAAGATACAGGAATTCTCTGTACTCTCTTTACAACTTTTCAATAAAAGTGAAATTGTTTCAAAATAAAAATAATTTAAAAAACAAAAGAATGGGAGACTTATCAGTTAAAAGAGAATTATGATTTAAATGTAATGTGTGGATCTTGTTTAGATCCTAATTCATACTAACCAGCTATAAAAATGAACAAAGAACAAAAAACATTCAGAAGTCAATCATTTGACCTAAGATATTTAATAACATTAAAGAATTGCTATTATTTTTGATGTGGAATGATGATATTATGATTTTCAGAGGCCATTATTTTTTAGTACTACATACTAACATATTTGTGGATAGAATGATATATCTGGAATTGTCTTTAAAATGAGCCAGTGGAAGAAAAAGTGGGTGACTATAGATAAAAAAAAAGATGGCCCGTGGGTGATGAGTACCTGGTAGCTCATTGTACTATGCTCTCTACTCTTGGATGTGTTTGAGATTTTCCATAATAAAAATTTTTTTAAGTGAAAAGAAAAAAAGACTAAGAGAAATAATTAAAATATTATAATTTCCCTCTACGCTGACCACAGCAGGGCTTGTCTCTTAAAAATCATCTGAGCAATGTCAGAATGAATAAATTATAAGAGAGGTGAGTGAACTCTCAAAAACAATCTGAGCAAGATAAAATCGATGGTGAATAGTTGGGAGAACATTAAGAGAAACGCCTGAATTAGCATAGACCTCCTAAACTAGAGTGCTTTGTTGTTCTTTGCTTGAAGTTTTTTGACCTGGTGATATCTAAAACTCCTATGCATGTGAGGACTTTTTAAAAAGTAGAGTGTGGTCAGAAGCAGCCCTGTGTTACTAGTCAGTGTTACGATCTATAGTTCCTCACCCCCCTTCAGTTTTCTTTATTGTCTAGGGCTTTGTTTTTTGGACTTGTGAGTTACAGGATAGGTTACTGTAATATAATGCATTTGCCACTTCTCTGGAAAGCCATTCAGAATCTCTAACTAGTGCAGAATGTACAACTCTTTTGCTAAAGGGTCTCTGCCAAGAGAAGCATTCTTCCGGGCTTTGTAATTTGCATTGATTACTGACTGAGCTGTTTCCCAGTGCATCACTGGGTGTTGACTGTAATCTATAAAGCTTTACACAGTTTTGTCCTATTTAAAAAAGTCTGACACTGGTGGTCAATTTCAATAATGACCGAGATCGATCTGGGTGACTTTAAAAAATTTTAACAGATTTTGGGACCTGAAATGTCAAGAACAAGTTATTGATCACACATAGTCTGGAAATCTACTATTTTAAAGGTGGGTACAGTGTACAGTACTGAACTGGTAAAAAACAGGAAGTTGAAAAGTAGGCAGTATTGCCAAAAATGTTCTAGCTCTGACTTTGTGCTCCCTAAACTAATCCAACATGCTTTCAGAATATTTCACTTCCTTGATGACCATTTTTACAGTTTCTATCCAATACTTACCCCCACATAGTGACAGAGTTAATGATTATCTCATGAGGCAGATATGAATAGGAACAGTATTCATATCAAAGACAACTGGTCCCACTTCCAGGTCCATCTTTGGGCCAAGATATGTAGTCGCCAACAGTGAGTTGGCGACTGTATTTTTTGAGTCCTGGCGCAAAGTAAGATCCATCTGTTTTGCCCAGCCGTTTGCCTGAGTGCCACAAAATGGTCCTGTTATTAGTCTTATTTGTGGTCCTATTTGAGGTTAAAGGATAATATAAATAAACTTTAGTCCTCCTTGTGATGAATGTAGCATGGGAATTAAAAGTGGTGGTGTTGGTAGTGGTTAAGTGATGTTGCGTCTCTATTTTCTCAGTTGCTCTGTTTTCTTTGGATTGGGAAACAGACATTTAAGAATGAGTTTGTCATCTGGAAGGATAGTTGTGACCAAGTTTCCCTCAACAGGATACAAGATGTTATTTTTGAGCTTCATTACCCTCACCAAGGGGGAAAAAAAAAAGAGAGGGAAAAAATAAGGAAGAAAGTGAAAGTAAGGAAGAAACATGCAGAAACAGAAGTGAAGAGAAAGGTCAAAGAGGATGAGGAATACATGAGGAGACAAGAAGAATGTAACATAGCAGATTGCCTATTCATAGAAATTACTTTATTATTTTGAACTGATAGTTCAGTTAACTCAACATCTGGTGAATTGAGGAAAAGGAAATCTGACTGATTAAATTGAACTGCTAGTTGTCAGTTAAATAGTTTATATATTAATATGCAGCCTAGTTTCCATCATATTTTCCCATATGAACTAGATAGTGAATCAGTTTTTCACTAACCATATTTGAGCGGTGAGTAGAACAATACCAATCGGTGATTCAGATTTATGTAGAGGTGGGCAGTTTTTATATTTCTGAATTGATTATTGGGGATTATTGTTATTCCATATAATTTCTGAGCCTGAGTTATTTTTGTCAGTTTCTTTTATGAATGTTTTGCTACCTTATAAGGAAATATGTGCACTCCCCTCCTCTCATTCAATTGTCCCTGACCGCCTCCATAATTTCTGTCTTTACACTGGTGCATTTTTAGTCTAACTCAGGCATGTGAGAAGCAGGGGAAAAGTTTAGTCAGTCAATGTCAGTGATTTTTTTTCTGATCCATTCATGGATGGATTTCATGAATCTGTACTAGTTTGCATTTAAAATCTATATATATCAAATAGACACAATACCTAAAATATTCTTCCATATACTTGAAGGGAAAAAAATAGAATTCATAAGTCAGATGAGATACATTTTCTAATAATAGATGCAATTTCAGGGGTGATTTATGATCATGCTCCCATATGTAGAGATATTAAAATATTACCTTGCACTGATGTGAAGTAGGACATAAACACACCACATTTAGTGCTACAAATATATAAAAAATGTACTGGCATGCTGTGAAGTAAAAGAAAGATAATTGTATTATCTTCATTTTACACGAAAAAAGGCTATATTTTTCTAAATCCTGTAGTGTCAGTTATCTAAAGCTAAAAATAGGGATGACTTAATCTAGTCTGTTTTTTTTTAAACTGTTATCTTATTTAGAGATGGTGTTGTATGAAGAAAGAAGGGATTGAAAATATAGTGTGACATTTTAAGCCCAAATATTTATGACATAGTTGGAGATTTTAATGCCTGCACTCTTAATTTGAAGATTAAAAATACATGTTAAAAAATGTGGTTCGGTTTTTTAAAACCAGGAGGTCCAGTTCAAATCCTGATGGTCTTCTTGTGCTGCTTCACACAGCAGTGGCTGCATCTAATAAGATATATGTATATATGATGTGGTATCCGGCATGCTAAGCCCACCATACATTGCAGTGGGCATTCTGTATTGCTAAATATGTTCATTTACCTCTACTTCACCATCTGCCTCGCCACCAATGCAGCCACTTGAAAGCAGTAGATCTAACATTTTTTTTCCAATTCTATTTGAAATCATAATTTTCCTTCAACATGTATATTCAGATAATAGATTTTCTTCTTTATTCTCTAAAATTAACATTTTATGTAATCTTTAGGCTGTGAAATTGTTGTTGAGTAGTTTTTTAAAAATCAGATAGAATTTAGCTGAAATTCAGAGGCACTGAGCTTCTAGTCATATCATTATAAGTCCTAAACAGGGAGGCATATTTTGTTTTTCAGAATTGCTTTTTTTTTTTTTCCTCTTTAGATCCTTTTCTTTTCATTAAAAAACTACTCTGGGAAGAGGGTTTTTTTTTTTCCTTAACAGAAAAAAAAAAAAAAGCCACGCTTGACTGATAATGCATTGCTTTGGATGGTGAAACATTATGAAAGTTTAATTTTTAATTAAATCTGAAATACCAATTATAACTGAAAGAGATTTTAACCTGTTTCTTTTCAGACTGCCTGAAGTTACATTTAGAGACTGAAATCACTGCACCTTAAAAACAAAAGATTGAACTGCACTGCATTCCTGTAAGTGAAAGCTTCCTGTACCTTCCTGCTCTGTGATTCTGTGACCAACCCAAGAAAAGACAAAAACATTGGTAACATAGTAACCAGGCATGAGTAAAAATTTGAATATCCCTGAAGAAATATATGTTTAAATGATTTCCTTCTATAAAAAAAAATTTGTTGGGCTCAATATTCAGTATGTCTTTTTTATTCAACCTAAATTGTGAATCCTTTTTTTTTTTTTCCTGGTTTGAATTGCATTAGGGAGGGTGTCACCCACTGTGCATCCACACAGTGACATACACCGTGACAGGAGGGATTCTCACATTTTTGTTCAAGTCCCATTGAAGGTAATGGATTTCTTATGGAATCAAAGTAGATTCCTTTTTCCTTTGTGATGTCATTAGAAATTTTTAGCCTTTGTGTCAATGGAAATGGAGAGAAAGAAGTTCATGATGACATCACAAGATTCTGTTGCCTTGAGGACTTTGGGCAAAACTAAGTAAAATGCATAATTCCCTTGTGTGCGTGTGTTCCCCATTCTGCTATGAAGCAGTCAAAATAGCACATCTTATGTCTTCCCGTGAGCTACAAGGCTGTCTCTCAGAGCCCCATTGTTCCATAAATGCATGTCAGAGTCTACCACAGTCTGGTCTACCCTTATTTAGCTGCTGTTTTGTCAATGTACTTGGAAGAACAATTAACACTTGGGATTTCAATGTCTGAATAACAGGCAGTGAATAGAACCCGAGCATATAAAAGAATCAGACGCCCAGGGTAAGAAAACAGAAGCTTATAGTTGGTGGGGGAAAAAAGAAAAGCATTTTAATGCTGTGCTCAAAGGTTGTGAAATACTATGAGAAAAGTCAATCTTTTTTTTTTTTAAATTTTAGATCAAAATGTATGTTTTGATAATGAAATCCAGAAGGTTATGATGTCTTCCTAAGTTTTGCAGTTTAATGTGTTGCAAGGTCTTTCCTTAGAGAGTCTTAAAACACTGAAATAACATCCATCTCCTTGAGTCATTGTTGGAAGGCCGGATGCAGGGTCTAGTGCACCGTGGCTTTCAGAGTGCCACCGTGTCTGTCCCACAGAGTGCAGTAAAGGTGTTTCACTTTCTTCCATTTTCACTTTGGTTCACTGTACTCTTTCATTATTGGCTATAGTGCTTGTGTATTGACTGCTGATAGTCCGGAAGTTGTTTAAGTATCTCTATGTATGGTGTGAATTTCTGCTAGGTCCCTTTTTTGGTGGGAGGAGAGAGATGATGCATGGACAGAGCAAGATCACCCCACTGTCAGGGTAGCTGATGAATGGAAAGGGAGCTTATGCATGGTGCCCACTGAGCACAGTGCTTGACTGGAATGAGGGAATGAATGATGCTTGTTGTTATTTTTGTCATAACTGCAACAGTTCAAACCCATAGACAGAAAGGTCTCCAGAAGCAGGATCTGTTTCTTACTCGTTTTTTAATCTCCAGTGCTTGGCATAATAATAGTAATGACGAAATATTTACTGTTATTAATACAATTATAAAATGTGTTCATAGTCAGAACTCTAGGATTTATTCTGTCAGAGAATATTTATTGTGGAGAGGCGTTGAGTAAAGTTCTTGACAGTCAGGAAGACAATTTTAAAGGAATTTGTCAAAGGCAAACCAGCTGTTCATCACATCACATTAGGCATCCGTCTCTTGGTCTTTCTCATTTACTTTACACTTCCTTCTCATCACCAAGATGAGGAGGGCCAATTCATACCATATCCTTTTTTCTGTGAAATCATCTCCAGCAGTTTTCCACTTAACTTATGTGTCTTAGATCCCATACATTGAAGTTGTCTCCAAAGATGAATCTACCTGACTCCAGGATGGGCTCTTCACCTGTTGGTGCGGTGAATTGCCGTGCGGTGAATTGTGCTTCAAGGAAAGAGGCATATAGAGGCACATGTACGATAGATATGGGGGCAACAGGCCTGGGAAGTCACCATGAGAAGCCTCAACTTTCAGTGCATAAAAAGCCAGGACCAGTTTCTCAGTTTCTCAGCATGAATAAGACCACAACATTCTTTAGAACTCAGAACCATTTGACCCCTGCTGACCCCTTCAACATTTAGCTTTCTGGTGGTTTGGGGGTTTTTTGTTTTTTGTTTTTGTTGTTTTTGTTTTTGTTTTTTTGCATAAAGTTCTCTGCCCTCCCACACCAATTTTAATTTATTTCCAAAAGGGGTCCCTTCATTTTTATTAAATCAGCTGCTGATGATGCAAATTAAGGCTTTCATAAAACTTGGCCTCTGAGGCAAAACTAAAATGATAAAATTTAGGCTTAGTGAATTATACCGTTATCATGTTGAATAACATTTAAGGACATCAAAGAACTTTATCAACACATTTCATATTTTTTAAGATTACAAAATTGAGGTGAAAGGGATTTAAGGGTAAAGCTTCATCAAACATTATAGGTACAAAGGCTGTAAGAAGCAGAAGTCCTAATAATCTCATTTTGAAATAAGTATATTGAGGCCCAGGGTAGTGTATGCAAGTTACCCAAACCATAATGATTACCAGTGCAGATCATCCTTTAGTCATCTAGGCCTGGGGCTTTGATCTTTCCTCTACACTCAGGGTCTGAGCGGTGTTTTCTGAGGAACAAATTGCCCTAGGTTCATTTTATGAGACCCTTTGAACTGTAGTTCCCTCCATAGACTAGCCCAAAATTAATATATAAGAAGTTTTCTGGAAATATTCATAGTTACCAAAAAATGTGGGGTTTTTTTTCATTTTTTTCTGTACATTTTGATATCATGCCTCTGGTTGTACAGTGAGTCACGTAGACGCAAATTTACTTGGTTGACTTAATATTCTTTATGACAATTTACAAAGTGGAGAGAAGACCATTAGAAACTTCAGTAGTTTAATTGTGCTTACAGGAATGATAAAACTAGTATTCTGAACAGAGCCATTGTGACATGGAATTCAGACTTCCCAAGAGTGTGCATCACGCATGGTGTCAGAATGTCACTGTTGCCAGGGATCATTTCTGTCAGAGAAAAGTTTTTCAGAGTCTGAAAAAAATGAAATAAATGTTAATAATTTAAAATGAATTACTTGCTCTAGTAATTTATTTCAGGTTGCCTTTATTGGATTCTGTCATTTAGCAATCTGAAGAGACCAGTGTAGGAACTTTTCTCTTATTTTACCCAGAGTTAAGTCCTGGATATATCTTAGTTTCTTCTTCAGATTTATTTTATACCTTCCCAACCTTCCTATCCCCATGTGAAGAAGCTCAAGTTTCTATGTACGAAATATGAGTGCTTATGTCTTTGTGCCCCAAATGAGGAGATGGTGTTCTGTCTTAAAAAATCCCATGGAGGGCGCCTGGGTCCTCAGTTGGTTAAGCGACTGCCTTCGGCTCAGGTCATGATCCTGGAGTCCCTGGATCGAGTCCCACGTCGGGCTCCCTGCTCAGCGGGGAGTCTGCTTCTCCCTCTGACCCTCCCCCCTCTCGTGTGCTCACTCTCTATCTCAAATAAATAAATAAAATCTTTAAAAAAAAAAATCCCATGGAAGCTTTGGCATATAGAGAAGGAAGAATTGAAGCATAAGGATGCCAGAGCAGGGCCTTGGATGTAGGTGCACAACAAGGTTCTCTCCTCAGACCTCTTCTCTCTTTAATAATAAATTAAAATTTATTCTGTGCCTCTTATGAACAAATCATTTTACCAGGGTAAATAACGTATACTTCCTGTCATCAAGGACTTCATAATCTGTTTGGGCAATAAATACATCTTTCTTAAAGACAGAATGTTGTATGGGTACAGTAAAGTAAATAGGTATCATTTCCTTTGGAGCATCAAGAAATTATCTGGGGCACCTGTGTGGCTCAGTCGTTAAGCGTCTGCCTTTGGCTCAGGTCATGATCCCAGTGTCTTGGGATCAAGCCCCACATCGGGCTCCCTGCTCAGCGTGGACCCTGCTTCTCCCTCTCCCACTCCCCCTGCTTGTGCTCGCACTCTCTCTCTCTCAAATAAATAAAATAAAATAATTAAAAAGAAATTATTTGATATTCACCAGTAGCCCAAGTAGAGGGAGTAATGAAAATGAAAGCTAAGGGAACAGTGAAGAGTGATGGTGTGATCTGAGAATAGGATGCTGGTTGGAGCCAGTGTTTTCCAAAGTGTGGGTTGCAAACCATTCATAGGTCATGGAATCAGTTTAGAGAATCATAGCCAATATGCTTTTAATGAAATAGTATCAAAGGGAGAAATTTATAAAAAGAGTGTGTTACATATTTTTAAGACAATGGATTGCAAAATAAATATATTTCTTACTGGGAATCATGCCACCAAAATATGAAAGCAGATATAAAGAAGATCAGTCTTTTAAATACTCAACTCACATAATCCTAACTAAGGGATAATATTATTTTCCACCTCTTTATATACGAGAAAGTGGAGGGATTAAGCAATTTGTTCCAGGTCATACAGCAGGTGAATGTAAAAGATAGAATGTGAATAGGTCTGTCAAACTCCATATTCATACTCTTCCCATGATCTGACACTGCTTTTCAGGGTTGTATGACTTCAGTTATTACACTACTGATAACTTACACATCTACATCTCTCGTCCTGATATCTCTCCCAAATTCCAGTCCTATATTTCCAATGTCCTTATTTAAATCTTCGAATAGATATCACACTAGTTTTCTCCAAGTCAGTACATCAAAATTGAATTTATCCTCCTAGTGAAAATTAATCATCCTCCTTTTGACTATATTAATTTTCTGCATCTCAATTGTCCAGGTCATCTTGACTCAAAATATGTCATTCTTGCTTTCCTCCACCCCCCAGGTGTCCAGTAAGTGGCCGGGTCTTGTTAATTCTCCTTCCTTGGTACCTCTGTCTTAGGTTTTCATTTTCTCTTGCCTGCAATAATCTCCTAATTGAGAGAGACAGGGGGAAGGGAGACCAGTTCATCCTAAACACTGCTGCCTCATTAGGTTTCCTGAAGCAGGAGTCCTAAGATTATGTCACCCTTGTTCAGACAAAACTTTATTTTATTTTATTTTATTTATTTTATTATGTTATGTTAATCACCATACATTACATCATTTTTTGAGGTAGTGTTCCATGATTCATTGTTTGCATATAACACCCAATGCTCCTTTCAGTACGTGCCCTGTTTAATACCTATCACCAGGCTAACCCAATCCCCCTCCCCGCCCAGAACCCTCAGTTTTGTTTTTCAGAGTCCATCGTCTCTCATGGTTTGTCTCCCCCTCCAATTTCCCCCCCTTCATTTTTCCCTTCCCACTATCTTCTTTTTTTTTTTTAACATATAATATATTATTTGTTTCAGAGGTACAGGTCTGTAATTCAACAGTCTTACACAATTCACAGTGCTCACCATAGCACATACCCTCCCCAATGTCTATCACTCAGCCAGCCCATCCCTCCCACCCCCCACCAATTCTAGATTAATCACCAAACCATTTCTAACCAATATTTATGACCATCTAAAATCTAATTCTAACCTCATTTCTGACATTCTTTTTTTTTTAAGATTTTATTTACCATTTGAGAGAGAGAGATGGGGGGGCATGAACAGGGAGAAGGAGCAGAGGCAGAGGGGAGAAGCAGGCTCCCCACTGAGCAGGGAGCTGGATGCGTGACTCAGTCCCAGGACCCTGGGATCATGACCTGAGCCGAAGGCAGACGCTTACTGACTGAGCCACCCAGGCACCCCCTGACTTATTCTTATGTTTTAATATACCACACGCAGAACAAATTTCCTCACCACCACCACCACCACCCCCCTTTATTAATATTGTTCCTGCCATCTTGGATGTCCATTATTCTGTTTTTCCATATGCAAATCTAACCCATCCTTCTGGGTCTATTTTAAATGCTATTAATTCCATGAAACCTTCCCTCTTTGACCTAGCCAGAAATAATTCACTCTCCCCTGTTTACCGAGCTCACTTAGCACCTGTAGTGGCTCTGCTGACAATTTGATTTTGGACTTCTAGCATTCAGAATTGGGAGAGACTATATTTCTGTTCAGTCAACAAGTTTTGGTAATTTGCCACAATAGCCTAAGAAACTAATGTAGCATTTATTTACACTTTTTTTTGAGACTTGAATTGCTTTCTATATTTTTTAATGATACTTATGTTCAGGCTTTATCTCTTTACTAGAAAATGAATTCTTTAGGGATAGAGTCCATATTTAATTAACATTTCTAAACTCTACAAAATCTATCACAGTAGAATCATTAAATCATTGCCCAACCATGCTTAATCTGGGGAATATAGAAACGATCCCTTAGGCTCTCATGGAACTTATAGTGTCCTAAGGGAATCAGACATTAAATAAGTAAACAAATAATTACAAAATTACAAATTGTAGTCCATGAAAAGAGCTAATAGATATGCAAGACAGTAATGCATGGGAAAATCTGTTATACTATCCATTGAGTAGTCAGGAAAGAATTCTTATACAAAGTGTAATTTAAGTTGATAGTTGAAGCACAGGAAGAATCAGGCAGGTGAAGAATTTGGGGTGAGGATAGAAACATACAAGGAAGAGAAAGCTCCAGACAGAAACAGGATAGACAATGCCCTGAAGCAAAGACAAACTTTGTGTTTTCAAGGAAATAAAAGGATTCCAGAGTGGCTAGAGGGAAGTAAACAAAGAAGAGAATATTATCTATATTTTACTTGACTAGAACAAGATGAAAATAATTCAAAGGTAAATAGTATGTACAAGCTCATAGCAACTATATATTTATTTTGAATCCTTGCCAAAGGTTTACTTCTAAGTTTGAGGGGGGTTTGGATTTCTGAAACTGAGATCAGTAGTTCACAACGTATTTCCATCTGCATACCCAAAGTAGATTCCTGACAACCTTTAAGATAAGGTCAAGTTAATTTTATTTCCTTTCTAGTTAATAATTATTACGATTCTGTTGTTGGTTAATGAATCTCTTATTTTTGTTTATTTTTAAGTGCTAATTGCACAATGTAGGAATGAGGACCAAAAATGTGTTTTATTCCTAGGATGTATTTTTAACATGTTACCCTTAATCTTATTTTTAATTTTGATGTATTTTATCATGTGCAATGAACAGGGGCCTGGAGGCATAGAAAGCCTTGAAATGAATATCATTATCTTCATTATTACACCTTCATTATTACTGAATTTCGGGATTAAAAACAATCCAGATTATTTTAAAGTATGATGCATTAATATCATGGAATACCACTAAATCAGAATGGAGGTATTGGTTTGTTTGCAAAATGGTAGAAATTATGCCCTTTTGCCAGATTAAAAAAAAGGGAAAGAGAAGAAAAAAGGAAAAGAAATATAGTAGAGGAAATGTGAAAATTAAACCATAGAGAAGTAGGTTAAGTTCTAAAGATATGAGGATTTATCTGCTTTAACTTAGTAAAAAGACAGAATCATAAAAAGAATCATAAAATATTATAGCAACAGGGAAACTTAGGAATTATTTATTCCAGCCTCCTCATTTTAGAGATGAACAAAATTCAGGCCTAGAATTCCTTTCTAAGACATACAGTTAAATAGTTAATGGCAGGGATGGAACTGTAACCCTAATTCTTAGGAGGTTTATTAACACAACTAAACCAGCTAATCAGTTATCGACACCCCTACCATAACTCTTTCAAGGTCTTGGGTGGAGAAAAGAATATTAAGTACAGGAGATGAGTCTACAGACAAGCTTTAATTAATAAAAATCTGAACAATATGTATTACTCACAATCTGTTTACTTAATGTACCAGATGCTTTGTGAAAGTTGTCTTTAATCCTTGCTACCACACTCAGCAACCACTCTGCAAAGTAGGAATCATTTCCATTTTATAATGAGAATACTGAGCTCCAGAAAGATTAAGTAACATCCAAGATTGCAAAGCCAGTAAGTGAATTTGTACTGATGCCAGGCCTAACTGATTCAAACTCTGTACTATCTCCTGCTTGTTGTTTTTATCTATTGCATTTTGTTATCGCCTTAGCTCATGTGGTTACACAGGTCATTAGTTCTCTAATACTCCAAACATTGAAAAAAAAAGTTAGGAAGAAAAGAAAGTTAGATTTAGCAGGTACCCTTTCTGCATAAAGTTCTTCACATTTAATTCCATCAATAGTACCTCAAGATTAATGTTATAATCCTTAGTTTAAAATGTAGAAAACCAAGGGTCAGTGAGATGAAATTGCCCCACACATCTTAGTAAAAGCCTGAGCCAGAATTCTAACACAGATCTGTCTGATCCCAGGTGTTCTTTCCATTGTTACATCAACCTCTAAGTCTGCTCTTCTCCTGGATGCTGGTTAGTCTTCTGTGGTCCTCACACCTCATCTCCTTATCTGGCAAAATAGAATTGTAAGGCATGCTCTCATAGACTTCTCAAGAAGGAAGAGAGTGTGTTGAGAGTGTGCTTTTATAATTAAGTTTTATTACCTTGTCTGGAAATAAATACAATGACCCATATATGTTTCCTTCTTTGAGAAATGAGCTAGGAAGAGAGGTTGAATCTGTGACATTACTCTTCCATCTCTACATTATCTTGACTCACTCTGTGTCTGTGCCCAAGACCCCAATCATATCACAGATAACAGTACCACCTATATCATACTTGAATACACCTTTGAAAAATAAAAGAAGTAAAATTATTGTATTTATGAGGCGAATACAAAGGAAGAAGTTTTGTATTTTCCTTCTCAAAACTAACTTATTTGAAGCCTTGGAAGCCTGATTAGAGATATAGGTTAATGAAAGAGCTTATTGTTAACTGCTTCTAGAAAAAGTGCAAAACTGAAAATCCAAACACACTTATGAATTGTTAGATTGTTTTCTAATGACCAATGAGGACTACATTAGAAGTGAACTTCTTGGTGAAAGCAAGAGAGAGAGAGAGACAGACAGGGAGAGGGAGGGAGGAAGGGTGGGAGGGAAGGAGGGAGGGGGGAAAAGGGGAGGAGGAAGATATTGGAAACAGTTTTTTAATGGCAGCTCCCACTCAGACATGATCCTGAATTTCCTGCTATGTGTCATCTTTAGCAGCACTGCATGTATACACCTTCATTTCTGAGAAGGTCATTTTCTATTATCAGATAATATACTTGAACAATTATTCTAAAACCTGTTGTCACTATGGAATGGCACAATATACAAAAGTTTATGGTGATTAGAAGTGATGCTTACCTGTTAGGGTTCTACAACTGTTACTTTATCCCTCTGTTTCTTGAGTTTGACTTCCAAGTCGTTCTATGTGAAAGGGTCCATTCAAGTCTTTTAAAATAACTCCGTGAAAACCATCTTTCCTACTTGCAGAAGGGACTTTGTTCTTTGGCTCATCCTTGCACTTTGCAATATGTTGCTAGTAGCCCTAAAGCAGAAAGTACATTAATATATCATTTGAACTGCTGGGTCTCATCAGGAAAAAAAAAATGTTCTCAACAATCTTATAATATTTTGTTAAAAATTCAATTCTGGTTCAATGTTTTGTTCTCGAAGGAATTTTGAATGAAGAAAAGCTTTTGTAAGAGGGAGGATGCTTATCTAATCTCTTCAAGACTGGTGAGAAACAATCAGGAGACTTGTGACTCTGAAACAGTAAATTTCCAGGGAATTAGGCACACGTTTCTCAAGAACAATAGTTTTACACGTCAGGTTGCAGCACATTGGCTCTAAATGCACCCCTTCATGTATCCCAAATGGCAATGTGAAAGCACCATTCTTTGAGTCAAGTGGAGAAGGGAAGAGGCCATGCTAAACTGACATTCTTTCAGGAGGTCATGAGAAATTGAATACAGAATGAACTCAGTCTAATGATTAGTATCAGATTCTCAGAATTATAAACCTCCTATGTTAAAATGTCCTCAAAGATATAGGAAAATAAGTTTGCTCATGTTGGTAGTTATAAGGACTAGAAAATTAAGATTCTTGACAGTCATTTACTTGTTTGCAATTGCACTAAACTTGACCATATGAAATTTGCTTAACCTTTGCTACAGTTTTATTGACCTATTCTTTGCTTAACTTATTTGAATATTATAGGACGTTATTAAATAATCAGCATATGTCTAACATTGTTATCATTGCCCCTGTTGTTACTATCAGAATTCTCTTTTCTTCTCTGGACTAGGGCTGGCAGGAACAGCCGAGAACCTGGGTTACACATTTCACACTGTATCTGTCTTAGCTTCCTGCGGCACTGGAAAGTGGGAGGGGCCAACTAGACTGGCGGCTCTGTAAGTTAACTTAGACTTACCTGGAAAACTTGTCAGTGAAGCTTTATTCATAAGCCCTTTTAGCAGATAAATAGTTTGCATGAAAAAAAACTTGTTTTTTAAATAAGTACTAACTCATGTTTCATGAGACTTTCTGATTGATTACATCATACTATCCACATTATCATTGCAGTTACCACGAGGGAGGCAGCAAGTGTAATGGAAACCAAAGAGTATGGGGCTGACTGTCTGGAGACTTAATTCAGGCATTGTCAGATAGTTTTGTCTTAAGATCATTTTCCTTATCTGTAGGGGACACTTTTCTCGATCCGTGCAGACATTATACAAAGAAGCCAAATGATATATATGAAGTATTTAGAGCTCTATGGAATAAGGGTAGTTCATAAATATCATGTAGTACTATTACGGTAAAAGTATTAGCAGAATTATAAATCACTTTGAGGTCTCCAGAGTAAGGTACTTTATCTGAGGCCTTCCTGCTTAGAAATTAGTTTGTTTTTTGAGTTGCCATATAGGGAGGTACTCTGTTGCTGCTAAGCACTGTTCATACATTGGAAGCAATGACTAAGAATGAATTGCCAGTAATATGTTACTCTTTTTATTTTTAAAAATTTTTCTTTATTATTGTTTTTTAATGTTATTCCTTTTAAAGATTTATTTTAAAAGCATTCTTTACTATAAATTCTCTGAGCAGTTTTTCTTAAATTAAAAAAAAATTAACTATTTTATCTCTCATATTAGAGAGTGAATTGCTTGAGGTAAAGAACCATGAGTGATTTACTAATTTTCTCAGTTACTAAAACTGGTACCAGATAGATATTCAGTGTTTGTTCAGTATCTTGTGTAAAAATTTAGTAAAATTTTAATAAACATTTTTTTGAAAAGGATATTGAATTTATTAATTTGACTACATATATACCATATGATATGGACAGATGTTATTGAAGATTATATAGCCATTTGAAAAAGAATGAATTATATCTATCGCTATTGATCTGGGAGGATGACCATAATTTATTAAGTGAAAAGAACAAATTTTCAGGGTAATGACTATTTATGAATAAATTTGTTGCACATGTTCTATGACCATATTCTTCACAATGGCCATCTCACAGGGTTGAGAATAAAAAGGGACTGATGGAAGATTATTAATTTTTTCTTTAAACATTTTTATTGTTTCATTAGTTGTAGTGAATATCTATTATGAAAGTAAGTTTGAAAATGAATATATAAAATTATTTTTTAAATTGCTTTTTTTAATTTTTTTAAAGATTTTATTTATTTATTCATGAGAGACAGAGGAGGAGAGAGAGAGAGGGAGAGAAGCAGAGGGAGAAGCAGGCTCCCAAGGAGCAGGGAGCCCGATTGCTACCTTTTGTTTCTTGGAAAATCATCCTGAGAAAAATAATCATACAGAACTTTTAATTTCATTGTGTTGCCTCAACCTCCATAATACAGAGTAAAGCACATAATCTAAATAGAGTAATTCATTTACTCAACAAGTATTTCCTGAGCTCTGTGATGGTACTAATTCTTGTTAATAAGTATGATGTATATGTGTAAAGCTGAGCTCTTTCATGATACAAGGTTCATACATGGAATCATATACAAAGAACTGATAGTTGAGCAAGCAAAAGTTTATCGTTTATCTGAATATATAACCTATAAATTCACCAAAAAACTTTTTGGGTTTCGTTGGTTTTTTGTTGTTGTTGTTTTGTTTTGTTTTTTGCCATCTCTGTTATCTACAATACATCTCTCACAATAGCTGCCCTGAAGTTCCTGCTGCCTTTCTCTCCTCTTCAAGAGCTCTCACTAACCCTCCTTGGCCCAGGTCAACTAACTTTTCTGCTCACTTCCCAACTCCTTGCTGGGTCTGTCTTTTTCTTCCCTTTCTGATGATTTCAGGCTTCTTTCACTCACTGAGGAGGACAAGAAATAGAAGAGAAGAGAAGAGAGAAGAGAAGAGAAGAGGAAAGGGAAGGAAAGAAAGCAAGCAAGAAAGAAAAGGAGAGGGAGGGAGGGAGGGAGGAAGGAAGGAAGGAAGGAAGAAGGAAGGAAGGAAGGAAGGAAGGAAGGAAGGAAGGAAAGAAGGAAGGAAGGAAGGAAGGAAGGAAGGAAGGAAGGAAGGAAGGAAGGAAG